TCGCGGGTGTGGAGACGAAGCCGAGAGACGGTTTGCCTGTTCAGTCCGCGATCCGGCGATCCGGCGATCCGGCGATCCGGCCTTTAAACGGAAATTAAGGTTTCTCTTTTGGAGGGTTTAGAGGAATGGATCCTCTGTGGATTGATGATCGATGCGGATGTACAATTTCGAAAAAATCGTAACAGATGGTATGCCACGGTTCATCGCGGATGCAGTGGCGTTCAACTTCGACGCAATATTTTATGCACCGTCGCTGCATCAGTTCAACAGCTGCTTAATTTCGATAATTTTGTTCAATTTTCTTCAACAAATTTCTTCACTGGATGGACAAATTAATGCAGAAAGAATGAGCAGGGAAATGGAATTTTCAGGAAATTAATGAAAAGCGAAAGAGGCGTTTCTAGATTCTAGATTCTAGAAGTAGAGAGTAGAAGCAGATGCCGGACCATCTATCGACAGCGATAGCGCAGATAGCGAGCAGAAGCTACGTGTCGGTACGTAAAAGTCAAAGTCAAAGTGGCCGTGAATATTCGCTGTTATAATATTCGGTCGGTTGGCCGGGCCATTTTGACCACGCGAGACCATATGGTCGCCGACGACGGGACGACCCGGCCTGGCCCATTATTTTCTACACAATCTACACAGCCTACGGTCTTCTACGCTCTGCTCTGGCCATGAAACACGAAACACGAAACACGACGAAAGGCCAGGGAAGGGGGAGGGGGAGGAAGGGCTGGCCCTTCACGAAATTGGCCGAAAATTGGCCGGCACTTCTTCTCTCTCTCTCTCTCTCTCCTCTTCTTCCCTTCGCTCCTTCCCGGATAATTTCATAATTTTAATTTGAATTTCAATGCAATGCTCGCGCCGTGCCAATCGCCACACGCGATAGCTCCTCTACGTGTCTGCACGTTCAGCCACGAATTAACCCTTTACGCTCGATATTCTCTCTCTCTCTCTCTCCCTCTCTCGAAAGGTTGTTGCACGAGTGGCTATCGACCAAGCTGGTATTAAGCTTCTAACAATCACCGTTCTGATTTTACTATTAAATCTTGCACGTGTATAACGCACGGAATTTCATGGTAGACGTGTAACAAATACGTACGATAGGTAGGCAGCCAATAACGAAAAGGAAGATGGTTTAGGTTGGATCGAAAATTGGCTCACTCTCGATTCTCGATTTCTCGTCCTCTTTGAGTTTCTCGTTCCGCTGCTTGTTATTATATTTCGTTTCGATCGACGACGAAAATTCAATCGAGAGGGAGGTAAGGTGAAAAGACAGAGAAGATCGGATCTGTTTAAGACTTTACTTTTTTTTTTAGTCCGTTTCGACTTTCCCTCTTTGTCCGTATAGCGTTAAACGCCCGCACAGAACTCGCTGTGCCAACTCGTTGTTATTTACGAATTACGAATGATGTAAGACGGCAAGAGTGTAATGATCTCGACGAGACCGGGCCTAATTTTCATCGCTTTAAGCACCACCGT